CAAAGTAACATACCTTTTGCCTTCAATTTTGAAGCCAAGGTATTTTCAAAATACCTATCTTGGATTAATTCTGCAGCATTTATAAGCAAATATTTTTTAGCAGCTGTTGCTCCTTCCTCAGCATTTAAACAATTCAAAGAAAGCATAATAACATACAGTATCAAGATTCTCTGCGTATTTTCCATCTTTATGTGGCTTTATTTTAACCTCTATTTCTTTTATTTTTACTTTTAACTTTTGGCTTTTTGAGACAGGTTCTCTGTATATCTTTGTTCTGGAATTCCCTCTGTAGACCAGGCTATCTTTGAACTCCCAGAGATCTGTCTGTCTCTGCCTCCCAGGCTACTCGTTCTTTCTTTCTTTCTTTTTTTTTACTCTGAGAACTTTAACCTTTAGCCTGTATATATTTTTAACAAAATGTAAACTATTTAGAGGTTATTTTACTCTTTGAATCTCTCTTTACTGTATATCTCTCTTTTTTTGACCACATGGGTCTTTAATTTGCTAAGGAATATGGAGAAAACAACAGTCAAAAGCTCTTAAGGCGTTTCAAGGTCCTTGCCAGGAAGCAAGCTGCAACAGTGTTTCCATAGTCCAGACTGCCTGCTTGAAAGAGTCAGAGTTTTTCCTGGCAGGACGGCCCAGAAAGTCGACATTTTAAAACAGCGCAGCTTTTTTCCTGCTACGGCTGAAATGTTTTACTCTAGTCTTTCCCAAGCTTTCTCAGGCTTTCTGTGGATGTAGTTATCTACATGGGTGCCATTATGTAACATGAGGGGGCCTGTTTGTTGGGGGTTTTTCTGTCCTGCCCAGTTCCCCCAGCTGTTTAGCCCCAAAGAAAAATCAATCACACAGGAGATCTCTATAAGTTATAAAGCTGATTGGCCCATTAGGTCTGGCTACTTATTAGCTAACTCTCTACAGACAATTCTCCTGCATCAATGAGGCCTTAGGGACCCCAGGTCCTTTTGTGAATCCCTTCTGAACCTTCACACACTCAGCCCAGGGGTGCTAGCACCTGCTGAGCCAAGGGAAGTCCCACACAGGATTTAGGAACACCTCAGAGCATTTTTCAGCGGCATTTGTATTTGCTGTCTGAAACCATTTGTCCCTTCTTGGTGGAAGATAAAAAAGCCACCCAGTGGGGCTGAGGAGATGGTTCAGGTGTAACCTGACCTTGAAATTGTGAGTCCTGAGTTTGGCTCCTATAATCTCTGTAAGAAGCCAGGCATGGCAGTGTACACATCTGAGCTCAGAGATAGGCGGATACCCGACGGGCAGTCAGTGTAGCCCACTTGTGAGGGTTCTAGTCACCGAGAGACCTTGGCCCTCAACCAAAATGCAGATGACATCCGAGGAAGGATGCTCTAAGTTGTCTTCTGTTTTATACTCGTGTACACACACAAATACACTAATGCGCGCACACACACGCCCCTCTGGAGGCGGCTTCCTAACCAACAGACCTTCTGCCTCCCAACTGTAAAATAGACGTGCAGTTTCCTGGCATCACTTCCAGTCATCCCCTACCCCTCATTTCCCAGGTCCCCACAGGAAAGGGTCCGTTTCAGAGCTCGTGCAGCTGCCATTTTGTATGGCATCCTCAAAGCCTGCATTTCTTACTCGACCTTGAGTGTTTTTGCTGGGTAGAGTTGAGAGTCTCAGGTTTAAAGGCAAGGGTCCTTAGGAAGTCCGTGGTGGTCTCAGGGGAGAGACTAGCCAGCCGTCAATGCACACACCTGTTCAGCAGCGTTTGCTGCTCACAGGATAGAAAGACTGTTCTGGTTCCTGGGGCAGGCCTAGCTCCTGCCACAACGGGGTGAAGGGGAAGAAGATGTTATGTCCGTTTTCCTAGAGAACAAGAGAGCTAGGCTGTTCAGTTGGCCAAATCAGGCTGGCCTTGAACTCACAGAGACCTCCCTTTTTCTGCCTCCCGAGTGCTGGGATTAAAGGTGTGTGCCATCTGGCAAACACTTACCTTTCAAGCTGGTGCTTTGCATAACGCAACCCAAACATGAAGCTAGGAAAGATCCAGTTCAGGAAGGAAACCTCAAGGGAGTGTTTGGTTCTACAGGTGTTATCAAAAAAGGCCCCCTTCGCCAGGAAGAGTGTAACGCGGAGCTCAGGTGTGCTCCCCCGGGCCCAGGTGCTTAGGAGCCATGGAAACCCTAAGACACATGCTTTTCTTGTTCCTGGAAACCTGACTCCAAAAGCCCCATGCAGAAGAGGAAAACTGACACTCAAGGGCTAGGTGACTCTGGCTGGGTTTGCTGAAATCAGGAGGATCATGGGGCCACTGTGACGTCAGCAAGGCTCTTCTCTACCCCACTTGTTAGCTGTACTTCAGGGTGACCCAGCAGCCCAGACGCCATCAACTGAGCTCCGGTCTCTCCTGAGGGGAAGCCAGGGAAGTGCTACATGCTTGTCCTCCTAATGCAGCAACCTGGTCAGGGAGGGCTTATCTCCCGAGGGAGGCCTGGGCCTCAGGTGCTGGGAGAAAGGCTGGAAGGAGAATGCTGCTGAATGGTTCTTCTTGGTTCAGTGACTGCATCCATGAGAATGAAGGTCTTCTGATTGGTCAGGTCTGCATGTGATGATCATGCCTACGGAAGTGGCAGGACTGGCCTTTTGTCATCAAAGTCCTTTGTCCAAAGCAAGGGGTGCTAGCCAGTTTAGCCTGCTTGGTGAATTGTAGGCTTGTAAGAAAGAGGCCCTGTCACCAAAAACAAGGTGGATGGTTTCTGCTGAATGACATACGAGGTTAACTTCCAACCTCCACATGCATGCATCCGGTGCATCTGCATACATGCACACACACACTCACACACATACATACATATACATACACACATACTCATACACATACACACACTCACACACATATACACACATACACACTCACACATTACACACATACACACTCATATACACACACACTCACACACGCACACACACACACACACACTCACACACATATACACACATTCAAAAAACGGTCAGTCCTATTTTCCAGACACAGACAACCAAGTTCTCCGGAGGCTACAGGTGCACGCTAACGACAAAGAAACATTGATGATGTGGGTCTCATAGCATCAAGTTTAGGGCATTCCCTGAAGAATCCAGGCTCTATTCAAGGGAACCCGTGCAGGCCCCTTGAATCTTCTCAAAGTTTCCCAGAATAACTGTGTGTGCTATCCACTGCAGCAACCCACTTCACTACTGCTTTCCTGGAGACAAAACCTCGGCACCATAAAGACTTCCTTCTTCCCGCTCTGCTCCTGGGCAACTGCGCGATATAAACATCTTCCGCAGCAGTTGGTGGGGCAGCCAGACCATGCTGCCATGGTTCCCCACGGGAAGCTGCCTTCAGAGCCCACACCCTCCCCATTAGGCAGCACTGTGGTGGAGTTAGAGCGTGATTTCAGGTTTCAAAGTGCAGAGAGCTTGAGCTCTGCCCTTAACTGTCAGATCCGAGCTTTGCCCTCAATGTCAGTCTGTTCCCTCACACCAGGATGTGGCAGACACTGAGCACACAGGGCTGTGGGCTCCTAGGGAACACTCCAGACATTTCAGAGAGTTCAGTAACAATAGGCCCTCAAAAGAGAACACTCCGGAAGGACCGTACGGTGACTGTACTGTGAAGTGGTGGCCTGCGCGTGCTGCAAATGTCTAATTTAACCTCCAGAGGGGTCCTATACAGCAGGCTGTCTGTCCATCTCTCTGCTTCAACACAAATATGACCCGTGGTCACACAGGGAGAGATGGTCTTGTTCCACAAAGGGCGGGGATTTTAGAGGACCCTAAAACCTATGCTGTGTACAGTCAGCAATTCCCTGGAGTAGCCACTGCCCCCTGAGAGTGGTCTGTTAGGGATACAAGCCAAACGTCAGTTTGGGCCATTCCATATCAGTCTGAATTTCACTGTTCTATGCACACACAGTGTATGAGGTGAACACGGGTTCCTCTTTGAGATATCCAAGTTAGAATTTCTAAACCAACTAATGCCCTTCCCTGGCTCCGGGGTGACTTCCTGCTGTACACAGCTAGGGTTCAAGGGCACAGAGACCAAACTTCAAACTTATCTTTGTGTCTTCTTGTCTCCCAACAGGGTCAGTTGGGGCAGAGGAAAGTCATGAATAGTTAATCCAAGAATCCACCTTTTCCCTTTTTTATTAGCATGTATTATATATGACATTCTCACACATGTATAAAATGTAGCTTGATCATCTTCACCCCTCCCCATACCCTCTTTGGTCCCACTCCCATTGATTTCTTCCCTCTTTCCTCCTAGATTCCATTCTAAACCATCTCTCTCTGTCTCTCTCTGTCTGTGTCCCTGTCTCTCTCTGTCTCTGTCTCTGTCTGTCTCTGTCTGTCTCTGTCTCTCTCTCTCTCTCTCTCTCTCTCTCTCTCTCTCTGTGTGTGTGTGTGTGTGTCCCAAAGAGCTTTATTAGGACTGCTCACAGGATCACAGGGCAACTTAGCTGTGACTATACCACTAGAGAAACTCTCTCTCTCTCTCTCTCTCTCTCTCTCTCTCTCTCTCTCTCTCCCCAGAAACTGCCAGTGGCACTCAGCTCCTCTCCCTCCCATGGAAAAATGGTGACAGGTCCTATCTTGTGCAGTCCAGAAAAGGCAGTCATAGCTACCGTTAGTTCTGAGGACAGAGGTCATGTCACTCTCGGAAGACAGACTCCAACGCTCCTTGCCTTCTACCAGAGTTTGTATTCTTTCCACTGCTCTTGCTACCGAGTCCCCTGAGACTTGGAGCGGGTGATACAGATGTCCCGTCTATGGATGAGCATTCAACACTTGAGCATTCTATGAGCACAGACTTCTCCTAGGCGCTTTGACCAGGTATGAACTGCTGACCACTACAGAGGGAAGCTTCTCTGATCCCAGCTAAGAGCAGCCCTAACCTATGGGTATAAACCTAAACATATAGAAATCAGTTTTACGGGCACAACTTCTCTACCTAGCAGAATAACAGTAGTAGGTCCCACTTGGTTATGACTTATTTATTAACTTCTGGACAGGATTACAGCACCAGGAGCACCCTGTCCCCCCTGTGAAGAAGGTCTCCGATCCAATTAGGAAGTAGTTGGTTAGTCCCCTAATGGAATGCCACTATTGCACCAAAGGTTATACACTGCCTGTCATTGGTATTGCAGTAGGCACGGTCTACAGCGAGCTACTGCTCTCCTCTAGCAGTCTGCACAGAACCTTCTGGCACTATGAAATCTAGCAAGCTCTTCCAGCTTGTGCTGCAGTTAAGGTGTGTGGTGCCTTCTGTAATAGGGCCTTACGATCTAGTGCTGGTGGTCAGCCGGGAGCATTGGCAACAGTCAACATTGTTTTGGAAATGTTAGGGGCATCCCTGACCAACAGCTCATAAGGAGGTAACCCATCCCTGGCCATGGGGTTTAAAGACTCATTGTTAAGGAGTAGTTTGAAGACCCAGGAGTGGTACCAAATGATGCAAAACATCTTAAAAAAAAAAACCTGCATCCTTGAAAACCACCCCAGAGAGTAGGCTCAGCTCCTGCGTGTAGCCTTCTTTTCACACTGACAGAACCGTGGAAGGAGGGAGCCAGGTAAGAAGGGAGAGAGCCAAGAGTAGGACCAGAATTCCATCCCACAGAATGAACTCTGAGTCTTGACCTCCAGACCTTCTACTGTGACCGCGGTCTTTAAACCACTCTACCACCTCCTGCAGGTCAAACGCCTGAGGCTCATAGCCTAGCTCTTTCTTGGCTTTCTCCAAGCTGAAGTAATGGGTGACACCAGTTTTATAAACTTCTGTGCGGGTGAGGAAAGGCTGGAAATTGTAGAACCTGCCCAGAACGAAGTGGGCCATCTCTATTAGGAAAGCGAAGCCGTAGATGAGGGTGAGGGGCAGGCGGGTGGATGGGAATGTGTAGCCTAGGCCCTCAACCAGGGGCCGAAAAAATTCAAAGTTATTCACAGGTCTACCGTCTGAGATGAAGTAGGGCTGCCCAGAGGCAACATGGCCCTTATCAGCTCTCAGAGCCTCGGAGGCCAGGATGTGAGCTTGCACCAGGTTATCCACGTGAACAAACTCAACCAGGTTATCGGGATCCCCGTACACAAATCTGAACAGGCCCCTCTCAATGTAACTCACTATCCTGGGGAGGTGCCTTTGCTCTCCGGTCCCATAGATGCCGGCTGGCCTTAGTGCACAGGTTCTCAGGACACCATTGCCTTGCTTGAAGGCCAAGCCATTGGCTTCCAGAACCTTCTTCTCTGCAATGGATTTGGTTCGGGAGTAGTGATCTGGGTGCAGATGAAGAGGCAGGTAAGGCAGAGATTCATCCCCATTTCTGATGACCTGACCTCCGAAGATGACGTTGGATGTGCTTGTGTAAACTAACCGGGGCACTCCTCTCTCCAGGCAGGCCTGGAGGATGTTGTTGGTGCCACCCACATTGACCTCTTCAATCAGGGTTCTGTTCAGTTGCTCCCTCCCAGACATCCCGTAAGAGGCGATGTGAAACACACACGCAATGTCATTGTCCTGGAAGACTGTCTCCACGTCTGAGAGGCAGCGGATGTCTCCACGGACGAACATGATTCCCTCTGGGAGGTTCTGGGCAGGTTGGCTGATGTCAAACAGAACCACACGGAGTCCTCTCTGGTTCAGAGCACAGCCGAGGCTGAGGTGAGAAAGATCATGGTTAGGTCAGTGTCTAGGGAAAGAGTACGAAGTAACTTGCCAGTAAGGTAGGGCTCACCCGAGTCTTGTTAACTTATCCTGGGTCACTTACCTTATGTATTCATTGCTACAGGTCTCATGTAAATTTTGAAAACAAAACAAAACAAAGCAGGAATCCTCTCAACTCTCAACGACATAAATGACAATGTCACAGGAGACAGAATGCCGGCTGTGGTGTAAAAGTGAACCATTTCCCAGAGGCTCAGGTCACAGAGTCTTTGGTCCCCAGCTAGTGGCAGTGATGCTGTTTTGGAAGTTTATAGAACCTTAAGGGTTGGAGCCCTGCTGGAGGGCAGTGGGCCACCAGAGGGCAGGCCTTGAGGATGATAGACAGACCCAGCTTCCTGCTGGCTTTGTGCTCTTGGGTTTCAGGGGCACTGTCTCACATTTTCCCCACATAGGGCTGCACCCCATTAAATCACAAGTCACGCTAAACTTTCCTCCCTTAAACTGCTTATTGCTAGGTATCTGGTCACAATGATGAGGAAAGAAATGAAGAGGACTTTATAAAAAAAATTATCTTTGGCGAAATGAATAATCATCAGGCCCCAGTTTGCAGGTTTTAAAAACGATTTTTCTTGAAATGGAATAAACCTGTGCTTTTCAAGTTTCAAGTCTGAGCAGGGAACCCCAGAGTTAACTTTTGGTTTGGCACTATACCAACATGTCAAAGCCCATGAGAATTGAAAACTACCCAGTCAAATAATTAACTACGCGATGATATTTTGTAGACGAACTTACCGGAAGCCAAAATATCCGCCTCCTCCCGTTACGAGTACGGTTTCCTCTGGGTACCTTGGGGAGTCCATACCAGATGGCAAAGGGACAACCAGACCTGCAGGAAATGCCATAACATTCTGACCGTGTTTAAACACGTTTTACCTTTGTTCTGAGCTAACAAGAAGAGAAAGGTAACTGACTTGCTACTCAGTGGTATCACGTGTACCCATCGTGTGAGAATCTCTGGTGACATGGCCAGCACCGAGAAACCCAAGCCAAACGACAGAATACGCTGGTGCAGGCTACACTTTGAGACACATGGCTCCAGTCACACCTGTGCTACTTTAGCTACGCCCCCCCCTTCACTTCTTGGCTTCCAATTCCTCCCCATATAATAGAAACATAGACGCGTCTTCCTTGCCTACTTGACAAAGTGTTAAACAAACAGAGTGTGGGTGCTTTCAAAACCACGGACCCCTTTCGAACAAAAGGCATTACTGTTGACTTCTGGAACTGATCGGGGCCTTTGGGAAGAACTCATTTAAAAGTGGTTGAGAGAAGGATTTCTTCCTGGCACCAGAAAACCCAAGATAGAGCGCAGAAGAAATCTCCGGCATCTTCAGTATGCTCTGCTTGAGGTTGGTTTATTAACTCCATACTTAAAAACAGAGAATAAAATTCCTTTCTGTATCTAATCACGCCCTCCACCTTGGATATCTTTCAAACGCTTCAAGGGAGAGCGCTCAGTGCGTTTGACAGGGTGGGAACCTTGCTTCAAGGGAGAGCGCTCAGTGCATTTGACAGGGTGGGAACCTTGCTTCGGTCTCCCTCCTTGTCTGTTTACTCTCCCGCAGATTCATCTCAAGGTCAGGGACTACTTCCTTTCTAGAACGTAACAACAGAAATGGGCAAGATGTCTCATTCCACATAGGTGAGAAATGGACCCAGGAGTGCACACGTCTCCTAAGGCATGGGAACAACACAGTCTTCATTCCCCACTTTCTTCCCTTCCCTCCCTCCTTCTTTCCATTCCTCCGTCCCTCCCTCCATCCCTCCCTCTCTCTCTCAATGGAGATATTTGGGTATGCTTAGATAGGTAGTCTACAAGTAACCAAGAGTTCAACCACCGCCCCTTCCCAGCCAGGTGCCCATCCGTGACTTTGACCACTGCGATTGCAGATGGTTTCGAACAACAAAGAACACAATACAGATGTTAGTGGAACAGCGTGGGCTGGGCTGACACAGGAAGAAGGGCACACACGCAAAGAGCTGTGTGACATCAGCGTGAGCACACAGGTCAAAATAATAATACTCACGACACAAGGTTGTAGGCAGCAGCCGGGGAGACTGGGCAGGTGCCTTAGCCTTGAGATGGTTTTGTGAGCTTGACTGAGACACTCTGCTTTCTCTAACCCGTACTTTCCTGTAAGCTGTCAGGATGTCTTCACGCTTCTAGAAGAGCAACAGTATATAGCAGAGAGAGTGAGGACAAAGAGAGACTCGCCACTAGTGTCACACAGTTCACCGGGCACTTTATGAACACATGAGCTACTTAAAAAGCACCATTATCTCCTAGTTTGCCAGTCGAGAGTAAATAACTCTCCCATGCACACCCAATGGATAGTTGGCACCGTGAGCCCATACTCGTAATCTTAACCCCTGAAACATGAACTTTGAGGAAAGAGAATGGTGTCTAGGTTCTCTTTAGTTATATGACTTTAGATCAGTAAATGGCTCTGAGCCTGTGACTTCATCTAAAAAGTTGAGCTGAGGACAAGCTCACAAGTTTATAAAGACAAGATGGGATAATGCAGACAGAACACCCCAAACATACCACATGGGGCATGCTCACCCCATAGATGTCATTTTTTGTTTCCTTTCTTCCAAGCTCTGATGTGTGTCTATTCAGTATTTCTGTCCAGCCATGATTAGAGCTCTCAAGACACAGGGTTATAGAGGGCAACATGTGCTAGAAATCTGTGTGTTGTGTCTCTAGCCAGTGAGGCTAACAGGATTAGTCATGGAGAGTGATCACAATTATAGATAAGGCTCACCAACAGTGTCAGAGGTGTGAGGCAAGAACCATTCAGAGATCTGGGCAAAGCAGTGTGGAGGATGGTGGCTGGGTTCCATGAAGCAAGTGCCAACATTATGCTACAAGAAAATCCATGAAGACCATACATGAATGAGCACCTCTTTAATATATCAAATGGTGACCTTATAGCAATATGTGCCTAAGAACTTTAAATCTTTGAAGAAAGAAATGAAGAAGACGCCAGAAAATGGAAAAATCTCCCATGCTCTTGGGTAGGTAGAATTAACATAGTAAAAATGGCAATCTTACCAAAAGCAGTCTACAAGTTCAATCTAATGCCCATTAAAATCCCAGCAAAATTCTTCACCGATCTCAAAAGAACAATACTCAACTTCATATGGAAAAGCAAAAAAAAAAAAAAAAAAAACTAGGATAGCCAAATAATACTGTACAATAAAGGAACTTCTGGAGGCATAGCAATTCCTGACTTCAAACTCTACTACAGAGCTACAGTACTGAAAACAGCCTGGTATTAGCATAAAAACAGACAGGAGGACCAATGGAACCGAATCAAAGACCCGGATATCAATCCACACACCTTTGAACACCTGATTTTTGACAAAGAAGCAAAAAATATAAAATGAAAAAAAGGAAGCATATTCAACAAGTGGTGCTGGTATAACTGGATATCAACATGTAGAAGGACGAAAATAGATCCATATCTATCACCATGCACAAAACTCAAGTCCAAATGGATCAAAGACCTTAACAGAAAACCAAGCACACCGAACCTCATAGAAAAGAAAGTGGAAAGTACACTAGAATGCTTTGGCACAGGAGAACACTTCCTAAATATAACCCCAGTAGCACAGACACCAAGAGAAACAATTAATAAATGGGACCTTCTGAAACTGAGACACTTCAGTAAAGCAAAGGACATGGTCAACAAGACAAAATGGCACCCCACAGAACAGGAAAAGATCTTCATCAACCCCACATCGGACAAAGGGCTGATCTCCAAGAAATACACAAAGAACTCAAGAAATTGGTCATCAAAAGACTAGATAATCTAATAAAAAATGGGGTATAGACCTAAACAGAGAATTCTCAACAGAAGAATCTAAAATGGCTGAAAGACACTTAAGGAAATGTTCAACATCCTTAGCCATCAGAGAAATGCAAATCAAAACAACTCTGAGATTATATCTTACACCTGAAAGAATGGCCAAGATCAGAAACACTGATGACAACTTATGCTGGAGAGGTTGTGGGGGAAAGGGAACACTCCTGCACTGCTGGTGGGAGTGCAAGCTGGTACAGCCCCTTTGGATATCAGCATGGTGATTTCTCAGAAAATTAGGAAACAACCTACTTCAAGACCCAGCAATACCACTTTTGGGTATATGCACAAAGGATGCTCAATCGTACCACAAGGACATGTGCTTAACTATGTTCATATCAGCATTGTTTGTCATGGCCAGAACCTAGAAACAACCTAAATGTCTCTTGACCAAAGAATGGATAAGGAAAATGTGGTACATTTGCACAATGGAGTACTACACAGCAGAAAAAAATAACGTCAGCTTGAAATTTGCAGGCAAATGGGTGGATCTAGAAAACATCATACAGAGTGAGGTAACCCAAATCCAAAAAGACAATTATAATATGTACCCACTTATAAGTGACTTTTAGACATAAAACAAAACAAAACAAAACAAAACAGCCTACAAACCACAATCCCAGAGAACCTAGACAACAAAGAGGAACCTCAGAGAGACATACATGGATCTGATCGACATGGGAAGTAAAAAAAGACAAGATCTCCTGAGTAAACTGGGAGCATAGGGATCATGGGAGAGGGTAGAAGGGGAGGGGAGAGAAAGGAGGGAAGCTGAGAAAAATGTATAGCTCAATAAAAACAATTAATTTTTTTTTAAAAAAATGAAAAATAAAAACAAAATAAGAAGTTTATTCTTTAAAAAATATGTGTCTGTATGTGTGCATGCATACACAAATACATGTATTTGTTTATTTCTAATTTTTATGTATGAGAGTTTTGCCTGTATGTATTCACGTGTATCATGTGCACGAAGTACCTGTGGGGGCGAGAAGAAGGTGTCAAGTGTCCTTGAACAGGAGTGAAGACTGTTGTAAGCAGCCATGTGGGTGCTAGGACTCAAATCTGGGTGGTCCTCTGGAAGAGCAATCAGTGCCCTTAGCCACGGAGCCATTTTATCTTTTGCAATGCTGGGTTAGAGCGCAGCTCTCACACACGCAAGGCGCGTGCTCTACCACCAAGCCACAGCCCCGTCTTCTTTTCTGAGAACAGAATGCTCACGCTCAGAACTGCAGAGCCCATGCCAGCAAGTGTCAGCAATTCTGCTGTGGAACACCACATTCCGCGACTTTAGCCCTCCTCCTGGGGACGACTGACTGATGTGTCCAGACTTTCGACCTTCACCTCCATCACTTGTGTCAACAGCCCGCTCTTTTCCCAGAGACCTTGCGTTTGAGTCTTGTGGAGCGTCTCTTCTTCCTGGCAACATGCCAGGCTCCCAGGTGCACCCTGTTCTCAGCACAGTGTGATGCGTGGCTCTTGCAGGTCCCGGCCGGGTGTAGCTTCCTCAGAGAGGCTTCTGCTCACTTGCCTCGGCTCACCTTGCCCTCCAGTTGCTCTGTACAGCGCCTTTTCCATGGCGTGTTTCATGGCTAACTGTGTGCCTTTAATCTGACCCACTCCTCCTAGGTGAAAAATCTACGAGAAACAGGTCCTTCCTTTCCGCTGGGGTATTCCTTCACAGAACCCAGAAATGGGCAGATTCCCGATAAATATTCGCTCAACTTCTGGATGATTCTTAACACAAAACATAACCAGTTTAGCAAAGCTGTGACAGACTCAAAGCAGGGCCCTGAGGTGTCAAGTAGTCATTGTTGTCCACGCTGTTTAATGCTTCTTTTAACTTCCTAAAACGTGCTGAGTTCAGAACGAGACAGATGCCAGCCTCAGGGACATCGGGCCTTGGCACTGTGGCACTTACAATGGGAACACAGACTTCTGCTAACATCCAAAGAACATTCTCAGGAGACTTCTCAGGAGAGCTGTATTATGGCTCATAGCTGCTGTAGGAGTGTAACACTTTGGCCAATTGGCTCAGCATCATAGGACATGAAGAACATTGTGCTAGGGAGTGCAGGGGCAAAGCAAGAGAGGAAGAGGCTGTGGGGCTCCTTAAAGGGTACACTCTCAATGACCTAACGTCCTTCCTCTGGGTCCCACCTCCCAAAGGTTCTACCACATCCCCCCGCATGAGGCCATAGGTAGGATGGAGCTGAGACCACTGAAGACACTGAAAACCCAAGTCATAACGCAAGACCAGAGGTGAGACAGAATTACTTTTCTAACTGATCCACAGGCCAAGTGCTGCAGGAACTTGGAAAATGGTGGCTGACTCTAGTCAAGGAACACTTCCAGGAAGAGGGAGCTCGGAGCCGAACTTGGACCACAGGAGGATTCAGGAACGCTGACCCAAAGTGGACAGTCATCACTGGCTTGGGACACATCACAAATAAATGGAAGTCTCATGGGGAAGGCTATGCTGGACAAGTGAGTGGGAATCCGCAGTGACTGAGATGTCACTCAAGGTCATGGTGTGGAGTTATACTTGGGGAAGGAGGAGAGTTGAAATTGCCATAGAGAAAGCCTTGGGTCCCCTTCTGGGGAATCTGACCTCCATTCTGTAGATAGCAGGAAACTTTTGGTTTATAGCGCAAAACTGACAGGGAAGCCATGTTTTCTTAAAGAAAGGGTTTCCACTAGGGAAGGGAGAGGCTTGAACAGAGTCCAGGCAGGACGTGATAAGGGGCTACGTGGGAGGAATGTTGGTGAGGACTAAGGGCCAGCATACACAGCTGGGACCAAGGAGAGGATTGGAAAGACACCGAGGTCCCAGCAGATAGTAGCATCCGGGAGAAGCCAGAGGAAGGTGACGACTCTGACAGAGAGAGGATGCTAGACACTACCCATTGTGTAAGAAGAGCCATGACTAGGGGGGCTGCTGAGATGCTCAGCCGGTAAAGTGCTGGCCTAGCAAATGCAAGAATCTGAGTCTGTGCATAGACCCCATGCGAACAATTGCTGGGCCTCATGGCTCGCACTTGCGATGCTGGGGCTGGGAGGTGGAGTGAAGCAGATCTTGGGGCTTTCGAGTTAGCCTGCCTCGGAGAACCGAAGAGCTCTAGATCCTGGCAAGAGATCCTGCCTTAAACGTCGGTGTGAATGGTACCTGAAGGATGACATCCAAGGGTCTCCAGATCTCTCTCTCTCTCCCTCTCTCTCTCCCTCTCCTCTTCTCTCTCTCTCTTCCTCTCTCTCTCTCTCTCTCTCTCTCTCTCTCTCTCACACACACACACACACACACACACATACACACACACTGACTGCTAACAAGATGCCCGATCACAGAGTTTGAACTGTTTTAAATATCCCCACAGAATACCACTGTGAGGAATCCCAAACATGAATCAGGCCTCTAAGAGTCCAATTAAAAACTTGTGACAGAAATATCTGGAATTGTTCTTTGCTTTTATAACCACACATTCCAGTTCAGCCAGAAGTCCAGGGGTCAGGAATGTCCAGTCATGAGTGCCTCAGAAACTTGCCAAGCCTATTGATGCTACCCCTCATTATCTTTGAACTAGTTTCAGAAAGCTCTGAAACAAGAATCTGCTGAACTGACCTATGGGAGAGCAGACAGAGAAAGGTTAACAAAATTCCTAATTTAGCAAGACAAACAACCACAGAAAAAAAGCTTGCCCTCCAGGTCTAGAAAATCTTCTGAGGTCAGGAGCCACAAGGGGCATTAAAAAAAAATGAGGTTGGGAATGTGAGCTTTGCTACCTAAGTGTGGGGATCATCAGAACCCCAACACCCACACAAAAGCCAGGCAAGTGTGTCTGCAAACCCAGTGATAGAAGGCAAGAGATAGGCGGATCTTGGGTGCTCAGTGGCAAACCAGTCTAGCTGAAAATGGGAACCCCATGTTCAGTAAGAGACTCTGTCCCAAATTAACAGGGAGGAGAGTAGTGGACTCTAGGTGTCCAGATGCACAGGAGTGAACACATACCCACACCCACACATGCAATACACGAAAACATGTGTGCGTCTGCCACAATACACATTTACCTCACATAACAGAGTGGGGGAGGGGAGAGGGGGAGAGAAAAAAAATCAGCAAAATCAATCTATAGAAGCCCCAGGAAATCCTCTTGAGGGCTAAGGCAGGAGGAGAAAGCCTATACAGTATCTCTTTATCCGTTTCCAGATACTAAAACTTCTGTTTTATTACTTAGTTTCCATCTGACTCCTCCTGGGGTCACACTGGATGATTGCACCTGCTTGGAGGCTCTTCCAAAATGGAGCTTTGCTCAGTAATTGCTTTTCTGTTGGGATGGGGGAGGCAGCATCTGACCCGAGCTGTCATTTTCTCAGAAACAGGTTAAAGTTAAGCACATGATTAAGGGGGAAAAAAGGAATCTTAATTGCAAGGAGGAGAAAGAAAGAAGTTTCAAATCTGCCTGACCTCTTGATAATGCTAAGGTGAAGCCAGGGTAACAGTTGGACATCTCACAGGGGAGTTTGAGGCAGAAAGTAATGAAATATGACTGGGAGTGCTTTAGATTTACAAAGACCTAATTAAGGCTAAGGATCAGTAATAAAAACCTAAGATTATGCACACCGCTCCTCCAGCCCTGTGGTTCAAAGCCGAGATGCCGCTCAACCCCTGGCTTCACGACTCAATGCAGATGCAATTAGCATTTGGCCAATGCATCTAAAGCGGCAAGAGTTTAAGAAGTCCTCCTGCTAGGGCTGGCCTTTTGTTTTTGTAGTGCTGGGGAGGGGACCTAGGCCTTGTAGCTAGGCAAATACTCAACCACTGAACCAAGTTGCCTAAAGAGCCTGGTTAACAGCAGCTGGGATGGAGACATGGCTCAGTAGTTGGAGTCTTACCTAGCAAGGTTACCTGGGTTCCCTCCTGATGTAGGTGGGCTTTCTGTCTATGTTTTGCTTTCATTGGTTAATTAATAAACAAACTGCTTGGCCTGATAGGTCAGAACATAGGTGGGTGGAGTAGACAGAACAGAATGCTGGGAGAAAGACACAGAGTCAGAGAGATGCCATGATTCCCCTTCCCCAGATGGACGCTGGCTAGACTCATGCCGGTAAGCCACGACCTCATGGTGGCATACAGATTATTAGAAATGGGCTGAATCAAGACGTGAGAGTTAGCCAATAAGAGGCTTGAACTAATGGGTCAGACAGTGTTTAAAAGAATACAGTTTCCGTGTAATTATTTCGGGTGTAAACTAGCCGGGGCAGGAACGCAGCCCACTGCCCCTTTTGCAACACCCTCCCCCCAGCACTGTACAAAGAGGACACAGCAGTGCACACCTGTAACAATCCCAGTTCTTTGGTGGTAGAGCTAGGAGATTCAGGCAAAAGAGTTTAAATCCAGCCTGTTAAAAACAAAAAAGCCAAACAACCCCCCCAAACTGTTTTCATAGAGCTAAAGCACCCACCTGTTATCCCAACACTGGAGAGCCAGAGGCAGGGGGACCACCACTTCAGGTTTGTTTCTGGCTATAGAGACTGTGTCTCAAAAAAATTCTTGGGCTCAAGAGACTGTGCCTCAAAAAGTGTAACACCGCCCCAATTCATTATAAGGGAAATTAAAACACTTCCAGGGGTGTGACCTTATAATTAGGTGTCTTTGATTTTTGAAAAAATACTTATCAGAAGGCAATGTCCTAATGGTCCTGGGTCCTGGGAAACACGGGAGATGACAGGGCTTAGGAGCTGGTGCTGTTTGTGTCCCAGGAAAGGTGCGAAAAGGATGTATTTGTGGTTACTCTCATGTAATACGGATGAAGACGCAGCTGTCAGTGAAAGAGAGGTGAGGTGTAGACTCTAAAGGTCAGGACAGACGGCACCGCATGTGGCAGAGGCTGGCGGGCAGGCGGGTATCACCTGATGTGGGTCAGGTCTTCATGTCCAGCCGTCCACCCACACTTCCCTTACCTAGATATCTGTTACACAAAAGGCGCTCACTATTCTTTCCATTGCTGACCTAAAGGAATGAAATGGAGTGTCTTTTATTTGGACATGTTTCTGCACGTGGGGGTCTGAGCTCACCATTACCGGTTGTTTCTCAGGAGCCATCCCTCCATCCTCCTCCTCTGCTTCTTTACTTTTTATTATTATTTTTTTTTTAAAAAGGGACACGATGGTGCATGCCTGTGTGAGTTCCTGCCACCTAAATGCAGGTGCCCGTGGACCTCCTACATCTGAGTTACAGGGGGTTGTGAACCACCAGATGTGGATTCTGGCACTGAACCCAGGTCCTCTGGAAGAGGAATATGTGCCCTTAACTGCTGAGCCATCTCCAGGCCCAGGCCTCCCCACTCTTTTGTAGACAGGATCTCTCACTGGCTGGACTTAGTGGTTTGGCTTGGCTGGCTATCCAGTGAGCCCCAAGGATCTATCTGTCCCCATCTTCCCAGGACTAGGATTTCACACACGTGCCACCATGGCTAGCATCCGTCTGAGGGATCAAACGCAGGTCTTTATGCTTGTATGACAAGCATTTTATGGCAAGCGCCTTACTGATTGAGCCATCTTCCCATCCCCCAAACCATTTTATATTGCTATTACCGATCTGTTTTGCAAATTACCGTGGCAACCCTATTTAAATGTAGACTCCTTCTCTAGAGCCATCTTCAGGGACAAGGAGCATCCGACAGACTGGAGATCAGTAATCTAGACCGAGTGAGCACACCACAACTTTTCAAATAGCCTTCGTCCTCTCTGCTACTCTTGTGTCTCCTTCCATCCCGGGGTCAGCATGGCTGCTACTCTGTTCTACCACAGGGGTGTTTCTTGCCATTTCATGAGCCCTTATCGTGCCAGGCACCATGTTACAACTTGCTTATAAATTTTGTTACTAAGCGCCCACCACTGCCCTAAAGAGACAGTACTAATTAGCAGGTACCATTTTGCAGATGAGTAAACTGAGGCCCGGAGCCAGAATGATCAACTCCAAGTTCCATAGGTGATGCGTGGATACAGGTGTATCCACTGGGGCCAAGGACCGTCTGACTCCATCACTCTTGACTCAACCTCAGCAGCCCCAGGTGACTGGGCAGAGTCCATGACCTGGAGCAATCGGTATAGAGTTCACATTGATCTGAACTGTGTGTGATTTCACAACCAGCACATTCTGCAATGGTTCAGGAGGGCAAAGGAGAAGCTGCTTCATCTCCTCCCAGGCAGTGGGGTGCATGCCACACAGCATTAAAGTTCTGATACTGGGAGTCAGAGGTCCAGGATTTAGATCTACCATCAGCTGCTCATGGGATCCTGAATCCTAGCCTCCTCCTCCCTACAACGCAAATCACAGCAACTATGGCTACACATGTTGCTTAGTACAGGCCAGGGCTTTTAAAGGCATACCACTGGTGCTCAGGCACAGTCCTGAGGCCATCTGATTCCCAGAGATGAGGAAAACGGTTCTGATACCATGCTAAGAAATCCAGAACTTGAAGCAGTCCCGCCGACTCTAACCTCAATGCATAGGGCCCAGCGTTGGTGCTGGGACAAGCCCTGCCCACTTCATTCCAGCGGTCCCTTCTGCATATGACTCACATGCCTGGCCTAGCACACACCTAATATATATCTTCTGATAACAATGAATCTTTGTAATTGGAACCTCAGTTTGCCACTGTAACTGGGAAATCCAAATCATTTGTCACAAAGAGCTAGTGTCTCCCCCATCCAAGTGATGTGAAAGAAAGCCTTGACTTGATTCTGGCTCGGTAGCCGTGGGAGGCTCTCTGCATGGGACCTACTGTCTGTGAAATTAGATCAAAAAGCCGAGGAGGAGACCCGGTGTCTGAGAACTTGACATCCTAGATGGCTCGGCTGAATGAGCACCTTGGAGCCAGAGAGAAACAAAGAAGATCATGTCCCTGCCATCTTAGGTTGGTGCTGCTTACAACCGTATCCCGGGGATGCCACTTGTCACCCTGCACAGCCACTTGTCACCTTCAGCAGGCATCAGTCATCCTCAGCTGCCACTTGTCACCCTCAAACACCAGCTATCACCTGCAAGTCCTGCTTGTCACACTATAATGGCACATGACACCTTCAAAAGGTTTCAGTCACCCTTAGTTAACACTTGTCACCCTCAAATACCAGCTATCACCTACAAGTCCTGCTTGTCACGCTCGAATGACACCTGACACCTTCAACAGGTTTCAGTCATCATTAGCTGACACTTGTCACCCTCAGCCATCAGCTATTACCCTCAACCACTACCTGTAACTCTCAAATGCCACCTGTCACTCTCAACTGTCACCTTCAGCTTCAGTCACCCTCAGCTGGCTGCCACCTGTTACCCAGCAGTCTCCTGGCACAAGCCCAGTCAAAGCCCACTTAGGACTTCCCTGCCACACCAGAAGAGGGTGACGACAGCCCTTGCGACCCCGGTTCACTCACAGAGGCAGACGACAGCGTGGCCGGTAGCTGCAGGACGAGAGAGCCTACTCAGCCTCTGGTGCCTTGCTGTCCCCCGCTCTGGGGCAAAAGCTGTCAAACTGGCTCCCGAAGACACTTCCGGGTTTGTCTAGGAAGCCCGGAGGTCCAGGCCTCTCTATGATGAACCTGCTAATCCTTATCTGTGCAGCAGCAGCAGCTCCCTCTGCAAATCTTCCTGATTTCCCAGCCAGTGTGCTCCAGAGTCCTTCAAAAGGGTCACCTAAACTCCTCTTCATACCTCCAGCTTCTGCCTCCAGGCTTTCACCTCTTTGTGTACCCCCACTAACGAGTGTAGAGCTGATGAAAGGCGGGGTTCGGCTCAGTCTGGGGCAGATGACTAGATAGATGGGTGAATGCGTGGATAAATGCGGGGATAGATAGGTGGGTGGGTCGGTGGATAAGTGGGTGTGTAGATGGGTGGATATGTGAATGGGTGAACGGGTACGTAGGTGGGCAGAAAGATAGGTGGGCGGATGGATGTGGAGGTAAATAGGTACATGGGTGAGTGGGCAGGTTGGTGGAGAGGTGCGTGTATCGATAGATGGGTGAGTGAACGTTTGGATGGATGTGTGGGTGGATGGGTTGATGGATACCTGGGTAGGAAATGAATGGGTAATGAATGAAGGTCTGTAAGCAACCGAGCATTCACTCTCCAAGTCTCTTTAAAAATATTTTCTTTTATGTGCACGGATGTGTTTGGCCCTCATGTTTGTGCACCACATTCCTGCCTGATGCCTGAGGAAGTCAGAAAAAGACCTCAGATCTCCAAGAACTGAAGTTCCAGGCAGTTGTGGGCCACCATGTAGGTGCTGGAAATAAACCCTGGGTCCTCTGCGAGAGTAAGAAGTACTTTTCACCACCAAGCCAGCTCTCCAGCTCCTTCTCACACCCTTTAAAAATCTGTTTTCTCTGAGCGTTGGTATCTATATGTGCATATGTTTGACTGTGTCCCTGATTTCCTAGTTTTCCAGCTCCACATACTATGACCCTTGATGGTTTAACGAGGCAGGACAGACCTTTGCTCCTGAAGGACGTAGAGGTTACATGGAGAGAAAGTTTTCTCCCTGTTAGGAACACCTTATGCCTTCTCATTAGGGCTGTGGGCTTATGGAAAGCGGCAAGTCTGTGCACATATCCCACAGAGACTTCGTGCCTTATACGGGACCGTGGGCCATAGGGTTTCATTTTGGTAACTGGAAGGATGGAAATTTTGACTTCAAGTGTCTTTCTTTCTTCCTTTCTTTCTTCCTTTCTTTCTTCCTTTCTTTCTTTCTTGTTTTCCCTCTTTCTCTTTTGGGGGGTTGGATATTGATCTAGTGGGTTGTGGAAAGGGGAAAGGGGAGAAGGAAGAAGAGAAGAGCAGAGAGAGAGAGAGAGAGAGAGAGAGAGAGAGAGAGAGAGAGAGAGAGAGAAACGGGGTGGGGGAAGAAGTGGGGAGAAGGGACAGAGGCAGAAGCCGCCTCTTCGGGAGAGAGACGGAAAAGCTCAAGTGCTTTTCTCATCAACAGAACTGGTCCCACATTTGGACTCAAAGGGGCTCGCATGAATTACACCATCCACTTTTTAGTTTTCCTTAAGAATATGCAAAATGACACGAGGTAAACTCAAGCCCTAGGATGCAAAAGTGAACGGAGGCCTGATGAAGAAAGCCAAGATGTGACCCAAGCTTTCCTAGATGGCTGGCCTCAGCTGCGATCTGACTATAGGCCTCAGGAGATGGAGACAGGATTGTACTCAGTGGTCCACAGGAACAACTTTTCTGTGACTCCTTGGGATATAGAAGATAGAAGATGAAGGATGCTCAGGGCTGGGAGCCCAGCTATGTACTCTTGAGACCAGCAGCCATGGAAGAGAGGCCCCCCTGGGAGTGCAGCATTGAAAATCGTTTTCCTATGTGCAATCCCAGGATCCTCCAGGGGATGCCCACATTTCCTGTGTGGATAAACATGAAAAGTGTTATATTAAATGTTAATATTCTTCTGTCCCCGAGGACTCTTAAAATATAAACATTTACATCTGAAAGGAAAATTATGAACTTTATAATTACTCCCTGAGTTCTCACCGCTCGTTAGTAGATTTTTAGCCTGAACAAGAAATCTGAGCTAGAAATAACCAGAGAAAGAAACTGACCTTGTTTGAGTTTCCATGTCAATAGTCATTTTGTTTTGCTTGCCCTATTAATACATCTAGATCACGGCGCCTTTCAGAAAGACCACATTTTTGGCAGGCTTCCTTAGAACGTTATACTATTTAATATGCTGAGAATCATGTTCACACTTACTAGCTCATCAAATTCTCACAACCTCTCATATTCAAGCTCTGGGGTGGGGAATAGGAGAAGGCAATTCCAAGGGAACATCTTAAGTCTAACTAGGGCAATTTTTAGGATTCCAGAGAGGGCCGAACAACTGTATGTGTCCAGTAGGCACTGCCAGCTTCCAT